CCTGACAACAGGAACTTTATTATAGGATTTAGTTTTCACTTTACCCATTCGGTTAAATACCGCGGCGTCTATTTGTTCGATTGTGTCGGTAGGCCATGCATGTAAGTACTTGTACTATTTCACGGAGAGAACACACGATTCGTGGAAGAGCATTTGGAACAAGAGATAACCTTAAATTGTCTGTAAGTTCTATTTACGGTTAAAGAGAAATCACAACAGAGGAGTTACTCTTTCTTGAGACAGACTCAGAATGAGAATGTAAAGCTTATAAATTAAAATAGGAATAAAAATTCTTGAAAATAAAGAAAAAACATTTGTTTTGCATTTAGAATAGAGAGGTTTTTGTTGGGATTAGGTTTACCCAGCACACGTATTGGCTACTGTTACTTTTCAAAACTTATATATGTAAGAATTTAATGGAAGAGAATTGGCTGAAATTCTCATTGATAAAGATATCAACTTCTACTGCTGTGATCATTCGTTGCATAAGATAAATAAAAAAAACTGTACGTTTTTGAGGAAAAAACTGACTTTTAGAGAACACCAAGTGAACAATACAGTTGAATAAGTTGTTCCTACATATTAATTTATAGTCATACAATGTAACTATATAGTCATACAATGTAAACTAACAATGATAATGCAAGATATTTTAAAGTATTTGAAATCATGAGTAAATGAGATGTTTCATAGCTTGTATCAGATAAATCTGCAATATTTGAGTATCCGAATACCAAATATACAAATCTTTCTATACACTTATTTCCTGATTAAAATGTACTGGGCTGTCCCATAAGTCCTTGCCATTTTCAACCAGTTTTATTTTTATTTTGCATTTATGAAAACTTAATTTCTATTTTACGATATAATCACCGTCATTATCAATAACATTCAGCTATCTATTGTGGACCTGACCCCCCCCCCCCGCCCAGAAATGATTGAAATATGTATAAAAAACATTCGTCAGTTGCTAAACTCTTATGTTATAAAAAATAAATACTTGAGCCGAAATGCAATACGCAACGCAACTAATTGTAAGTACAGTGGACTCATAACTATATTGCCATGATCGGGGCTGTAGGGGAGTAAAATGGCAATGAGTTCAGAGCTCCCTCCATGCTAAGTTTTATCGTCATAGCCTCGACCTCAGCGCCTGCGTAAAAGCTGGATCGTGCTGGTGCGCAGGCGTACGCAACGTGGTGGGAGAGCGAAATTGTGTGTTCGAAAGTACGTGTGAAGGGGAAGTGCCTCGCATGGCAATATGTTTAGTGGCAATATAGTTAGAGTCCACTGTACAAAAAATACAATACTATCATCATTACGTTAAAGTATGAAGTAAAATTGTATTAGAGTTAAGCTGTTTAATTATTACATTGTACTTAACTAATAATCTTGCAACATCAACTGAACGGTTGGATGCAATTAAGGAAACTAGTGTTCGAGAATGTGAAAAATATTTTTACAGAAAAAAACAGCAAATTGAAGTTTACACTAAATATAAAAGTAAACACAGCACATCAAATTCTTAATTAAATAATATTTAATAAATACGGGCGGCGATACTGTTTTTGCACCCGGGCAGCCGACAACCCAGGAACGGCCCTGCTCGCACATTCTGAAAGTTCTCGGGCCTGCTTCGATTTAAATATGAAAACGTTCGAAAAACAACGAACCCGGAAAGGCATTATGGGACAGCCCAATAGAATTTCATTGCGGAACCTTGGGTTCAGAGGTTATGAGAGCCTACATAATACTTTGTAAGTTCAAAGGGTAATGTAAATGTAGTTAGTGATACTGTCAGGATATAGATCAGATAGATCCTTAATCATATTTGATGAGGATTGTGTAGGAAATCACTAAGTGTAGAAGAGCATTGATTTAAAATATACAGATATAATGGTTTTGCAACAACAATTACTGTGGCACAATGGTTAATGGAGCAGTTTTACTTATAAAAATGAATTAAACATAGGTAATTTAGGTGAATGAATGATACACATAAAAAACTAGTCTTCACAAAATGTCTTACTTTGTACAAGGCGTATTTAGTTTTTCAAAAATAAGAGGTTTTGCAATGTGAAGTCATGATTTTTTCAGAACTTTCAAAATCTATCCCTTTAATAATGAAGAATATCGTACTTTAAAATGCAAGTAGTAAAAATATTCATTTTAAAGCAGTATTTTTCACTGACATTCACCGAATTGCTTTATTGCTACGCTGTTAAAGCGTGACTATTGAGGTACATAATAGTAATTATTACGAAAATGAAGTATCAAATTGCAAAATGACGGAGAAACCTCTCAATATCTTTTCACATGCGTATTTCATGAATGCTGCCAATCCCATGATTTCTAGACACACTGTAGAAAGAATATTGCAATATTATTCAAGCAATAGAATTATAGGAAATATAAACTCGGTATATACAAAAGATACTGAGATTGTAATAGTTGAAATACAGTAGCAAAAGGAAGTTGTCAAGAAAAATATTCAAAAAACTTCACCATTTGGACACTGACAAGTGAGTCACATCAAGAGTGTAGGAAAAATACGCAGTGATATTTCAGAAATGACGAACACCTTAAGAGAACACATCGAATAATAGGGATTGTGATAAACTGAAGTCAAGAAGTCATAGAGATACGTATCCGCATACTTATGCAAGGAAATTATGGAATTTTACGAGGACTTACTGAATACTATGCGGAATGGGCCTCGCAGAGATTTTTACGAATCGAACCAGATCTCCCCTGAAAATACCGCATTGAAAAAGCCTATTGATCAGTTATTGTTTTTGTTTGTTTTATCAAACATGATGCTACAATATTACCGAAACTCATATCTCTGTCATATAGGGAAATTGTGTCTGCTTTTCAGTTGTGCGGTGTGAATGCAAGTAAAGCACATACATTTAAACATACATCAGTATTTTTAACATATATTTATGTAGCAGGCACGTTAAGGTAATTGGGTACTTTTCCAACAGTAATCTTCTTGCTAAATATGAGGTTGTCCTAAAAAGAATTGCGGTTCTTAACCTCAAAGTTAAATGTAGTGTAACTCGACTCGGAATAAAATTTATTAAACGAAATAAAAACCAGTAGAATATTCACATTATGGACATCGATTTGTATTTCGTTCACAAAAATGTGTAAGTAGATTCTAATGGCTTTCAGTTCGATTCATAAAATGTATTCGGAGTTAAGTTACAGTACATTTAACCTTGCTATTAAAGACTGCAATTTTTTTCCAGGTGATCTAATAATAGAAAAAAAATATCAAGTTATAATGTAGTTCTACTTAACGTGCCTGCCAGAGAAATTTGCTAAAGCAGTGTTACTCACTGAAAATTGAATTCATATTTACAGCAAATATTGCATAATATTCACAAAAAATTTCTATCATACAGTTCTTTTTGACCTCTGTTGTCAATTTTTTATTTACTTTGATGTACAGTGTGGACCACTAATTGTGTCCATATAGAATGTCTTTGCTGTTTCAAACAGTAGACACAAAATTGAAGCTATAGGTGTTTCTAGTTTTGAAGGACACTTAATATACACTTAACAGCTTCAATATTACCGGTGGCATCAGGGGTATACAGGGTGAACCACGAATCGTGATCAGTAGATATCATTAGGTGTGTTCGAATGTACAGAACGAAATGTTTACAAACAGTAAGCAAGAGCTCAACATCGGAACGCGTACAATGGCGTAGCATACGATACTCTTTGTAATATTACAGTTCGAATAGTTCTTTAATCTTTTCTCGACCCAGATGGAAAGAAAAGTGACACATGTATGTTATGATACTTACCGAATTCGTCTTGAAATCCTCTAACAGATAGACGTATAAAAATTATAGGTGTATTTGCAAAAAATTGAAGGTGAACTTGAAAAATCATAAAAAAAAGAGTTCACAAAAAATTTGCTATAATCACGTTAAAGCTCTCTTGAAACCATGCTATACCTGATAAAAACATTTTCGATCGGACTGCTAATGACAGAGTAATCTACTGATCACGATTCGTGGTTCACCCTGTATAAAAGTCATCTTCATTTCTGGAGATTGAGTTATTATTTTCTGATACTAGGAATTAGACAGTAATAAATTCTGGTGAAGAAAACATTAGCGTATATATGTTATGAAACTTGCAGTGACTGAGATATTTAGCATGTCGATTTTAAAAAGATATGGAGTTGAAGATTGTGACTTGAATTGAAAGTTAAAAGATTGTCCCAACTGGAAATCAAGGAATTGTGCATTAAACATTAAATATTACAAAAACTATAAATTTGAGGACAACCCTACCCTAATACTTTGTTTTATTAGAATTTATCGCTTTGTAAATTTCTACCCTTAAAATATAGACATTGCATTTAAAAAAACGAAAGACATTTGTATCTCCCTGCTGGTTCCATTCACAATTAAACTGTAATCACTATAATTATGTGTCCCACAAAACCATGAACCCACGTAGCTTCATTTTTTCCCATTGTTTGAAATAATTTAGGTGCACACAGTTAGTTGACAACCCTGTAATACAATGATGATGAAGGTGCTAGGAGCGATAAATAAGCACGAAAATTTTTGATATGTAAAATTTTGGTGAAAGAAAGTATCTGAGCAATGAGTATCACTCGAATAATTATAAGAAAACACGAAAAATGTGCACCTGTATGGTATGTCGGTGAGATTCGACTGACTGTGTGAATGTGGCACTCGGGGTGTCGATGTAGTATCTCGAACACCGCAGACGGCTAACTCGTGGGCAGATCCGGATAGACTTCGATCGCTTCCTCTACGTTTACCACCGGCCGTACTACCTACAGCATGTTGCAAAGTGCTAGGCGTTGTGGTCGAGGTGGAAGAAACTTTCTTCTTGGCTTGTCCACCGAAGACAAAAAACCTACAACATTAGGTACAACTATTTTCCCCTCTCCGTTGAATGAATTAAATTTTATAATTTTAACTCGACATCACTAGATTTAGGATTTCATGCACTTATTTCACATACGATTGTCTAGAGCACAGTACACTCAGATATTTAATAAACTTCACGAGTTATGACTACTTGTATGTTTCAAATCATACAGGGTGTAACAAAAATCTTGGAGGACCCGGAAATGGGAGATTCGTGAGGTAATTTGAAACACGTTTTTCCTTAGCAAAAATGTTATCCGAGGCTTTGTTAACGAGATATTTACGAAAAACCCCAACCAATCAGAGCGCGAGTCTGCCAGCCGAGTTCCCGCAGTAACGTTGGCTACCAATTGCAGCGCGTAGTCAACGTTACCGCGGGAGCTCGGCCGGCGGACTCGCGCTCTGATTGGTCGGGGTTTTTCGTAAATATCTCGTTAACAAAGCTTCGAGTAACATTTTTGCTAAGGAAAAATTTGTTTCAAATCACCTCACGAATCTCCCATTTCCGGGTCCTACAACATTATGGTTACACCCGGTATACAGGGTGTCTCAGCTAACTTGATCACCTCGAATAATGACTTAACGGTGTACTTAACGGTGAAGCTTAAATGGCATCAAGGGGCACATTTTATAAGGTATGTGCTTTTTTTGTGGGTGGAGGCATTTCAGAGATTTCAAGATCACCTTAATTTTTTTTAACGAAATGACCTAGTTTTTGTACCATAGATCGATAGAGTATCAAATTCTGAATAAAAGTGTGTTGACCTTCATACGTCCTAAATCTAATAGTTAACGAGATATTTACAAAATAATCACTGTTTTGAAATCGCTGTATTGAAGTTGAGGAGCATCAGTTCGTGCACCTCTAGCTTCCAGATAGTAAGTACGTATTAAAAATTATTTGGTAAATATCTCGTTAACTATTAGTGTTAGGACGTATGAAGGTCAACACATTTGTACGCAGAATTTGATACTTTATCAATCTATGGTACCAAAAATAGGTTGTTCCGTTAAAAAAAATCAAGCTGACCTTGAAATCTCTTAAATACTTCTATCCACAAAAAAAGCACGTACCTTATAAGATATTCCCCGTGATGCCATTTAAATTCCACGCCTCAAAATTTTCATAACATGCACCGTTAAGTAATTATTCGAGGTGTTCAAGTTAGCGGAGACACCCTGTATAACTATGATAAAAGTAAAAATATTGTCGAATGGCAACGAATGAAAAATCGCATTAGACGGTTTCAAAATGGTAAAATATTCTTGCGAATCATTTATATGCTATGTGATATACCCAAAAATACACCAAAACATTTTTTTGATAATTTTTAAATAATTTGCGAATGAAGAAGTTAAATATATGTATAATACACAAGAAAAAGGTACTTGAAGCTTACCTCTTTTTTTGTAAAGGCTGCACACCAGCTGCTAAGAGGTTTCGATATTGATCAGAGCGAATAAATCTAGGATAACAATCCTTCTTCAAAAGTAGCGTATAAACGTGCTCAGCAGCGGAATCGAATGTAAATCGGCTTGGATGTCTCATTTCTTGATGGACTTTCTCCATTGTCTTCCCATCAATATTTATTTCGCAGGGGGCTCCAGGTGCCAGGAATTCCCTAAAGGAGCATTGTCAAATAACATTCATTTCTATCAAATTCTGTTTACTTTTTATCTATTACACAACATGTGATTTATCATACATACTTGAAGATTTCGTTGACTTTATTGTGTATTTGTGCTTGAAAACTGTGTCTTAAGTCCTTAACTGCCAACCAAAATCGTATGTTCTCGTGACTGTACTCTTTCCTTAAGTAATTTGTGAACTCTTGCAGACCTGCGTCAGAATACATCAAATTTAAACATCTGTCCTTCCTTCCTACGTTGAAAGATAAATAAACTAGACCAAATATGCACAAACAAAAAATACTAGATTTTTTGCAAAGGAAAAATAAGTTAAGCAAGCTAAAATAAAATTAAGTAGATTAATAAAGTTTTTAAAACTGTATGAAATTTGACCTATTTCCAAAGTTATCTATTTTAGTACCTTGACTGCCTTAAATAGACTTTATAATACATTTCTGAATTCCTATATTTACAGCACATTTTTCGTCAGAATAAAGATTACAAATACTTGGGATAAAATTGAAGCAAATTCTCAAAATCAGAATTTTCAGTTTTGACGATAGTGCGTTTAACTGACAAAATGTAAGTATATTTTGTGACTCACCCGTGGGATCAGACATTAACTCCTCCATCGATAGAGCCCAACGTTTAACACGTTTCTCCGTTGGAACTTCCACTCTATAAAAACGAAATATAACAAATTAACAGTAAATACAGTTTCTTACTGATATTAATATCTGTAACACAATTAATTTTTTTTTATACTGACACGAAGCTGTTTAGTTGCCAAAATGTTTGATCGTCGGTGATCCAAGGATTGGATGGTTGCGGTTGTACAAACATTGGGTCATATTCGACATACGTCTCGAAGTACGACTTCAAATTCTCAATTGCTGTCGAAACTTTTATTCTTGTGCGTGTTAAGCTGTTCTCCAAAAAGGCCACCTAATTTTAAAGTAAATATATTTCTATAAATTCTTGATACATGGTTGCGTTACAACGATATGAAACACATTAACTTGAACGAACTTAAAATTATATTTTTTTTCGCTGATAGATTGTTAGACATTTGTGTATATTTCAATAAAACACATATTTTTTATTACTGATTTCATCGAATTCAAGACCATTTTGCACGTTACTAAAGCAGATTAGATGATTACATTGTATATGATAGTAATATATACAATTATAATAGTATACAGTAAAACCTCGATGAGTGTTCGGAGGCTTCTCTACACTGACAAGCAGAGATCCTCAAGTGTAACGCTGACTTTTTAACGAGGTTTATTACAGTGGTAGAGCTTGGAATTCTGAGGCGAATAATATTTGTTTCAGCCGTATATGACCATTAGTTTATAAAATATTTAACGTTCAGGGCCGAGGAGCCATCGAATACTTATCGAGGATTTACTGTATATCCTTAAATTCAATTCGATTCGATTTTGTTGCAAGTGAACATTTTCCGGTTGAAAGTTCTAGTTGGAAAAAATTCAAAACCCTAAAAAATGCTGAAAATGCAAATTTCTTATTGAAATTTAGAAGCGACACAATTCATATTTCTACAATAACAACATATTACCATAAGTATTGTCCTTAAAAGTTTTCGGATATTTTTGTTAGGTGTTTAACACAATTAAAAACATTCTCAGCTTTTTTTTAGAATTTTGAATTTTTTCCAACCAGCATCTTCAACCGAAAATTTAGAGAAAGTTCTCTAACGCTTACCTCAGTATCTGCAATACATGATACTTTTTTTAGAATGTCAGTATGTTTGTGAATAGGAAAAATGCAACAATAACAATTTTAATTCATACATTATGTCGTGACACAAATCGTACATTATTACAAAATAATCCGAATTACGTCGCGTTTGGACTTATTTCCACCGGGAGAATCTCTTCAATTTGTTCGTAACACTTTCATAAAAGTATATTGAAAAATGTAATGGTTCAAATTTTCTATTTCCGCACGATTCCTCGTCTGCTTACTTTATAATACCGAGATATTCAAAATTTTCTCTAATTTTCTATTTTATACTTTAACAATGTGATAGGATATTTCTCGAAAAATTGCTCGAGGAATAAGAAATCAAAAACTTTACTTTTTTTCGAGAAATTCTCGAGAAAGAATTTCTGAAAAGAAATACTAGTCGAGTTGGTAACCACTGTCGACAAAGACAGTACGTGACTGTTTATTGTCCTGTTCATTTTCACCGACGCGGTTCGTTAAATGAACGACAAAAGATCGATATGGATAAAAGAGGAAGTATTCACCTCGCGCTGCAGGTCGTTTAAGGTACGTTTGCGCGACGGAGGACGCGAAAGTCCTGGACGAAAACGCGTGGGCACGGGCGCTGTTTCAAGGCTACTGAGACAACCAGGCGGCGGCCTGTAAACCCTCCAAAAGGCTCGTTCTTGGGAATCGCTCACAATCTTGTCCCCTTTTTTCCGCTCCTTCGAGAGTCGCACCTGAGTCCACAAAAGTAACACCATTTCAAGGAGTCACGTGCTCGAATGTGCATAACTTCAATTGGACAATTTCAACCCTCGCGTGACTGACCGTTATGACCGACGGCCGGGTCACTCGTGATCCGTACAAGTCTAAAAATTTGTTTGTAACTTCTGAAAGTATTCATTTTTCGACCCATTTTTGTTAGGACTTCTTTTCTCTATTTGGCGAGCGCTATCTATTCTTAAAGTTCTGAACCCTATTTTTGCACCACTCTGTATACATATACAAGGGTGTCATTTAAATCAATCCCCGTGATTATCTTCGAAATCGTTGAGGATACCTAAAAATTCTTTAGGTAAAAGTTAAATGGTTTCGAGGGGGAAATAATTCTGTGCGAGTAGTTTTTTTTAGGTGGATCCGTAGAGGACATGTGAAGGTCAAATTTGTTTTTTCAAACGGAATCATATATGTATTTTTTAATGCACTGGTTGATCTTGTTCGTCGTTCCTTATAAAATTAGAGGGAAATATTATTCCATTGGAAGGACCAAAACTGTGATCAGCAAAAACATTTCTCTTGGTTATATTTTTTTTTAAATAATAAAATAACTACGATAGAAGGATCAGTGAAGAAAATTTATTTTAACAAAGGCTTAATGTGATGTCTATCAACTTCGATACATTTCTGTAAACAATAACTTATTTTTCATAGTCAATGTAGAGATAATAATAGTAATAATAGGTGATAATGGATTTTTCGTACTGAAGGTTACATGAAGGTCATACTATTACAGATCATTGGATTGGTCTTGATCTCAACTATTACTTCACGATGATAAAAATATGTAGTCCCATTAACAAAAACATCGATGACCTTGAAATTTCGAAAAGGATGACCTTGAGAACAATTTTTTTATTATCACAGTATTTGCCATCTCCAACCAAACAATATTTATATTCCTCTTACATTTTCGTCTATCTTCAAAAACAAGTGAGATATTTAACCATGTCAGACTTGAAATTTCTTTTAAGAGTAAAAAAATGTTTGATTACACATTTTAACTCAATAGATTGTTTAGATAATATTTGATTACACATTTTAACTCAATAGATTGTTTAGATGATATTTGATTTAAAAAAATGTTTTTTAAACATTCTTAAAAAAAGTTTGTTCAATTCTGAATTCACTAGATCTACTGAAAACATTCAGAACATGGAAAAATTCAAATTTATAAGAAAAATATGGAACTGCACCACACTGTATCTAAGGCTTTTTGTTAAATTATAAGAAACTTCATGTACACAGATCTGACCACCAGGTCTAAAAGGGATGCTCAGGTTAGGTAGGACACTCTGTATATGTATAATATAACATTTTTATATTTATTTATAAAAATTTGTAAAAAGTAATATATAATGTGCATTTTTATAGAAATTGTTTTCTGTTCATTTGTTGGATACATTCTCTTTGCTCGAAACAACGTCGAGGTGAAAAAACGACGAGTGACGCAGCCATAGTCATGCGAGAGTTAACACAACATATATATAGGTGTTTTCGTGAAAATCAATTAGAAACGTCATTTTATCGTTTCTTGTAACTCTTGTCGCAAAAAGGTGCAGTAAATCACATGTGCAGTAAACGATTAAATTATTCACCTGTTCCTCGGCTTGCAGTTGTATAATATCCCACTTGTTCTGCAGGTTCCTACGTAAGCTGCTCAAAGCTTCCTGGGAAAGTAAAATCACGTGATAAGAGAAATAAAGTACATATCGTGGCCCGAGTTCCTCAACTGTTCTAGCTCCATTTTAAAAAACATTTAGTTAATCAATCTACGTGCGTCTGATTTGTTCAAAGAATACAAAGAAAATTCAACCTAGAAAACAACAAATATTCTTTTAAGTCTTAACTCCGAAACTTTGAAAAAGTAATGTTTTTTTGACGGTTGTATCTCCAAATACTAACAACAATTAAACATTCATATTGATCAAATTTTGTTAAATATTGTAATAAATAGATATTCAGTAGATGATATTATAGTGTGTTTAATTATTTTACTACTTTCCTACTCCTATAATATTAAATTTCGTAAACATTAAAATCAGTTTTCTCGGTTTAGAAACTAGTGAAGATAAAACAATTAAGGACTGGAGCAACGATGTACGAAATATTGAAGGAATAAAAATAAACCGAATTTACGTACGATCTCGTAATCCTCAAGAGCATGGCGTTGCTTGTTTCTTAAAGTTCTCTTAGCCAGATAAATCGCATACTCCACATTATCAGGGGTTCTGTGTTGCCATGGCCAATAATATGGTGTCTATATATTAAGAAAGATATGTCTATACTTTAATGTCTGAACAGTTAGAGTATCATAAAGGTACACAGAGTGGTCCATAAGTCACTTTACCAGTTCGAAAATTTAATAATTTCAATAAACGAATATATTTTACAAATACGAATAATAATTAAGAAACAAAAATTTTTATGCATTTTTAAATGTTAAAGTGACTTATTGGCCACCCTGTATTCAGCTTACTTAATAAATCCTTGTATTGGATGTGTGCAGAAGTAACGGTCGTCGCATCTATGTATATTGATACTGTAATTATATTTTATTCGACAATTCAATTTTGAATTGGAAAATTCCATTTTTTCCAGAAAGATTGCATAATGTTATGGACAGTAAAAAAATGTTTTAAGTAAGAAACGTTGTATCAATTGGTCAATATTAACTCTTTTAGGCTTAAAGAAACGATTTTATTTTACCCCTGTAATTTGCTAACAATTTATCATTATCACTTTTTATTGCCTTCTATCGTCATATTGTAATTGAATAAGTACTAAATAAACAAATTTTTATGGAATTTGAAAAATTATAGTTTTTTTTGTTATATAAAAATCCTCTGAGTTTTTAACAATTGCATCCTAAGAGTCGCTGATCCTCAAAGGGTTAATAGAGAATTTCGACGAAAAAGTGACCATTACTTCTGTCTACACTTGATATTTGGTATTTTAATTGTTCATCTTTATAGTTGTAATAACGAAATCAGTATTACTGTTATAATCATAGCTTATTATAAACGGATAAATCAACATTATACCGCAAAGTTTATAATCTAAATAAAATCTTTTTACCAGTGCTAGGAGAATTAATTAAAAAATAGGTAATTATTGCAAAAATGTGTAGGTTACTATCTTGGCCACAAAAGGTTGGGTACGAATGATTTTATCAATCTTATTTTATGCAATAAATATTTTCAGTACTGTAGATGTTAATATAAAGTTATGAAAATGGCCCATAATGTATAATATTTATGAAACATCACATTTTCTTTGTAAACATCAGGTATCCCGATACTTATGGTCGAGAGTGAATATTGACTGGAACTTTCTGATTTTAAAAAAGGGATGCAACCTTCCTTAGGCAATATGGGTCGTTGACGACCCAAGTGACTTCCCATTTTTCCTGGACATTCATCCTTATTTTCATTTTCATTGAGCAAAAATTTCAAACATTTGACCCAACGAACGATTGTATAATGTGGTAGAGACTGTTAAAAATCCCAAAAAATTTTCTGATTTTTTCGAAGTTTCAAATAGTAAACAAAATTAGGTTCGAACAGAAACGACCTAATATGCCTAGAGAACGTGAAGAATGATGGGTTGAGAATTATAGTGGTATAAGTCAAAATTTAAAAAATTTGAGTTAATCCTATTTTAAAAATCTTAAAGGCATCATCTGTTTACATTCATAGTCAATTAAAATCTAACTTTATTCTTTACAGTGGTGTAAATTCACCTTATGTAAAAATAAATTTGTATTCTTTTTGTAACTATTTTTTTATTGTACGTAAAAATGAACAGTTTTGCTGTGATGGTACATAAAATTTTAAATATCAATGCTGTTGTCTATTGCTTTTCAATACCAATAAATATGAGACATGTACATTCCTGAAAAAGAAATTAATGAAAAAGCTTTACTTCTTAAAAAAGGCAGTCATTTTCTTCTGTTGATAGATATATAGCTCACTTTTTCAGAAATTATTATGGAAATAACATATAAGATGTGTATGTTGAATTTTTATAAACAATAATTCTGCATATACAAAAACATTTTTTAATTTTATTCACTCTTATTTATTATTTGTTCCCTATTTTTTTACTCTTATTTAACAGCTCGAAGGTATGTAACCCTTACATTTTTACATTTTTCAAATTCCATGTACAAATACATTCTATCCCGGATGTTTGAAACAAATCGGGTGAATAACCGTTCTATTCTTTGCCCTAGGCTTCGTTCGGGGAAAAAGTGCACTATAGAGTTACAGGCGCACCGTGGCACCTGTTAAAAGAAGGAGGTCGTGGGAACATAGACCACATGACCACTCAACTTTCCCTTTGGTCAGCTCTTTTCCAATCAATAAAACAGATGCAATACGGTCTAGCTGGCTTAGCTCGTTGGGAATATAAAAAGCCCTTTCCGTTCTGCATCGCTTGTATCAAACTGACTAACTCTAGTTTTTATTTTTCATTTTTTCAAATTTTAGCGCCAAAATACTTGGTTAGCGCTTAACTTTTTATATTTGAATTTCCTTGATATAATTGTTTATGTAATCGATCACTTTGATAAATTAACAGCTCGTCTGTGAATATCAATGTTCGTCTGACGTAAAACACTTCTTAGTAAACTTTTAATTTGTTTAAATTTATGAAATTTAAAATTCAATAGGAATTCGTTATGGACCATTATTGAACATTTTAAAAATGTTTAATGTAACGTTTTGTATGTAGGGAAGTTTGGGTAATATTTGTTATCAGAAAATACTGTACATGGGAAAATGAAAGAATATTTGAAGATATATTATATTAAATCAGGTTGGTTAACTCTTATGGTACCTTATAAGTTTTCAAGATACCGTCCAAAAATACCTTGGAAACCATGCGATTTTTGAAGTATCTGTTAAAATTAATATGTTTCTCTTAAAAATGAAGATATTTTCACGTTTTTTCAAAATTTTATGGTTCTTATTCAGCAAACGAAGTTCCACTATATAAACTTATTTTACGAAAATAAAGTAATTTTCGAAAAACCCACTAACCCTATCGGTTCCAAGGTACTAAAAGGGTTAAGAGTAAGAATAACGACAGGACCAATTTGATAAATTTTCGGTTAGAAAACCAAAATAATATAAGATAATAAAATAATACAAACGAAATAAAATATGCATTATACAATGTAAAACCGGAAGTCATCCTAAGCTGTAAGGCAAGCATTATGAATAAATAAATAATAAAACATTAAATCATGTTGGTAAGTCAGTTTTCTTTACAGACTTGCAAAAATATTGAAATTTCCAATGGTGTGGTGGACTGTAATTTGTGGGTCACTGCTTTCCAACAACTATTGTAATATCCTGCTTCTTTACATTTTTATCCTTATTTTTATACAAATTTCTACAGTGTACGATGCACACAGAAAATTATTATTCTGTCTTTAAACTTATGAGTCTTGACGAAAAAACTAAGCTTCTCATCTAAGTTGTTGTTTACGAGTTTTTAAAAAATCTTGTTTAATCATTTGATGTAACTACATTGTACATTTTGGGAAATTACTAATATGTTATTCATTTCTTAACCTCGAATGATTCCGTTAGGAAATTGTTAAATTTCATATAAACGATTAATAAAATAGTTCTGGGCATAAATTTCGACGATTTGTTTTCATCCATTCGATCTTCTTACAAAAAGTTTTTAAACTTCATCGAACGTTTTTGGCAACCTGTGCAAACACAGTATCTATGCAAATACATAATGATAAAAAATTATACTTGATGCCAAAACAAAAAATTACCTATGGATTATACAATATTATTATTAATAATATTACTATAATATTAACCTTTAAGGGTAATTGCATAAAGGCCACCCAGTGGCTTATCGTTCATTAAGAATTAAAACAGTATTTCTCAATTGAAAATTATTATAAAAATTCTACTAACTCCAATTATTTTTGTGATATTTCAGTTTTGTTGACATTCATACTATTAGTCTCAATAAATATACATTTTTCTTCAGTTATTCGCGTTATATCAATTCAGGTTAGTGTGTTACTCTTTCATCCCTTTTGCCCTTTTTGGCAAGAGCAAACGAATGTACGTGAAATAAATGTGACAGAATGCTTCATAAAAGTTGTCTTGTTTTTCTTATTATTCTACGAAATTGCGTCAATAAATTTTATAAGCTCTCTAGATGAAAGTTAAACTGAACCATGAGTTTATTCGAATCCCCTAGTCCCCCAATAAGATCGCATCAGTTGGTTCCGAAAGTCAGATCTTATGGAGTAGTTAATACGATTTTACGATTCTTTTCATTGGCTGGCGAATCGCTTCCGCCTTACCCTGTCTATTATTGGCCAACGCCACAGAATGCTGGGGGTAACGGTGCGACGACGAAGCACAGCCTTATGAGGAAGGGGGAATATTATCAGTGTTGCCAGATTGTGCAATTTATCGTAATTTGGGCGACTTTAGTCCTACAATTGCAATGAATTTTTTCGAAGAAATCCCAAGTCGCAATTTGGGCGATTTCGAATTTATATACAAGGTGAGTTAACAAGAAGTACTATCTAAAATAACTCGGTAATAATTGATTGTATCAAAAAACGTTTCATTGAATTATGTAGCATTTTAAGGGATGCATCGGATGGATACAATTTGATTTTATTATATCTTACTTTTTTTTTTTAGATATCAAGGTGACTTCGTGGTTTCCAAGGTCAATGCATATTTCTTTTAATAGCACGTTGTTGCTAATGAAAGGACGAATTCAATGACCTATAGCATGATGGTATTAAAAAAAAGATGCATTAACCTTGAAAAATTCAAGGTCACCTATATAACTAAAAAAAATCAACACATATAATGAAATCAAATTCTATCCATCCGATGCGTTCCTTAAAATATAATTCAGTAAAGCCTTTTTTAATACAATTAATAGGTCATGAGGTATTGTAGATACTATTTCTTATTGACTCACCTTGTATATACATATATAATTTATTATACAGGGTGAGTCGCCGAATTGTACCACCTAAATTTACACACAAACTACTTGTGTAAAAAAACGTTTCAAACGAAATTCGTTTGATATCGAGCAGGACATATAATGGGATAATTAGTTTTTTAATGTTTCGTTTTTTTATCGAGATATGAAAGTGACTTTGAGCTTTTGTATCATAATTTGTAATATTTGACATTGCGATTCGAAAGAATATTGAATACTGAATGAAAAACTACTAAGGTATATGGGTCCAAAAACTAACAATTACCGAGATATTTTTTAATTAATCTTTAATGTAAACAAGTCCTGTGTCAAGCAGACAATTGCTGTATGGACTTGTCATGCACAGAAGTTTAATTATCCTTCACTGAAAAATATCTCGGTAATTATTAGCTTTTGACCCACATACCCTGGTAGTTTTTTATTCACCATTCAATATGCAAAATGCACATGCATTATTGCACTTGCTAAAAAAATATGGTCATGAAAATGTAGTCCACCTTGAATCATTGATCTTTTTCTTGTAACTTTTTTTTCTAACTTCAACCAAAGAAAGACTATACAGAGTGAGTCAATAAGAACTACTATCTAAAATAACTGGTTGTACCAAAAAACGTTTTAACGAGTTATGTAGCATTTTAAGGAACTATAATATAATTTGACTTTTTTATGTCTTATATTTTTTCAGACATCAAGGTGACCTTGAGTTTTTCCAAGGTCATTGTATATATTTTTTAATACCATCGTGCTGTAGGTCGTTGAACTCGTCCTTTTACTGTCAACAACGTGGTATTAGAAAAAAAAATGTATTGACCTTGGAAAAACTCAAGATCACCTTGATGTCTAAAAAAATAAGGTAAAATCAAATTGTATCCATCCGATGCGTCCTTTAAAATGCTACATAACTCATTAAAACCTTTTTTTTTATACAACCAATAGTTAGAACAAAAATTAGAACAAAAAGTCGAATGGTTCAAGGTGGAATGCAAATTCACGACCATATTTTTTTCGTAAGTGCAGAAATGCATGTAACTTTTTTTTTCTAACTTCAACGAAAAAAGAATGCATGGCTTGTTACAGTTGCGTGATTCACCATGTATACCATAAGACCCTAATTTCGTCATATACAGCCGACATTGTTCACACGTGTGCACAGTCACTCATGTACCCACGACTACAATAGTTATTCGAATTATAGGCTTATTAAGAAGAAAAATACGGTACCTGAAATCTATACAGAGAACTATCATCCTTTACGGTGAGTGTCTTGGAATCATTTACCGGGAAGAAGTAGCCATACTGGCAGAGTTGATTGGCAATATGGACCGCCTCTACTGTCAACATAATAATTTACTTGTACATCCACGAAAATCGTTCAAACAATAGAAAGAAAAAAAACTTTACGAAATCGTAATTCAATTATATCGCATGCAATGGTCTTGAATTCGACAGAATCATGGTCTATTCTTCGGTGACTAATAAAGGGCACAAACATCTAGAGCGGTGCAAGCTGTTTCAACATAATAAAGGCACGTTTAACAAATTATTGTTTATTTAACTGTTAGAGGTATGTCATTTTACTACTTTGTCACTGTTGACTGCGAGAATAACTTTATTTTAATTCTATTGTTTATAAACCTGTATATAGTCTGCATAAATTATTTAAAGAATACAGTGCAGAACATTTAATAAAAGGCGTATATATACAGGGTGTTCACGGTAAATTGGACCAGCGTTTTTCTCGTAAACAGTAAGTACAATGGACTCTTACTATATTGCCACTAAACATATTGCCACGCGAGGCACTTCCCCTTCACACGTACTTTCGAGCACACAGATCTCCCACCAGCACGATATAGCTTTTGCGCAGACGCTGAGGCCGAACCTATGACGATAAAACTTAGCATGGAGGGGGCTCTTATCTAATTGCCATTTTACTCCCCTACAGCCCCGACCGTGGCAATATAGTTAGAGTTCACTGTATTTCAAAAAAATGGAAGAGAAAGAACTTATAGCATATCTTACTGGCAACATAACCTATGTCAATTTTTTATATTTACATTATTTTTCCGGAAACGAAGGTGACCTTCAGTTTTTTAAATGGCATGCTATATGTTTTTTAATGTAATATGAAAGAGTGGATCAAGAAAAATTCCCTCATATCTAACACAATGACTTTTAAGGTCATACAAGGTCAGACACAAAAGAAATATAATAAAATCCCATTTGATAAAAACTAAAGAAAAATTATATTTACTGCAAATTACATTTAATCAATATAGCATGTGCCGTTCTGTTCGATGACCTTTCTACATTCCTCCGGTAGCTGCATAATCCCGCGCTCATAGAAGTTCTGAGGTTTCTGGGTAAAGAACTGATCCAACAACAGAACGAACTTTTGCATCAACCTAATATTTACTAGAATGTTGCGACTACAAATTGATAAGACTAGATGTCATGTTTAATACGACTTCCATTAGCAAGAATGCATTTCTGAGCTCTGTTGATTATATTCCTGGTACTTTGTGCTAATTTTGCATTGCATATGGATGCACAAGCGTTTTTTTTTTTGTATGTCGTTCAAATCTCTTGGCAATGTAGTATAAACAATATTTATAATAAAAAATCCATGTGTGGTTCTCTTATTATTGACGTTGCATGACCTTGGAAGTCAGTGTGTTACATATGAGTGAATTCGCCTTGACCCACGCTTTTATATGACATTAAAAAACTATAACATTTCAGTTAAAATTGTGAAGGTCACTTTCGTTTCTCAAAAAATAATGTAAATATAAAAAATTGGCATAGGTTATCGTATTGCCAGTAAGATTAATGTAAGTTCTTCCTTATTCATTTTTTTGAAATATTTTCTGTTTACGAGAAAAACGCTGATCCAATTTACCGCGAACACCCTGTATATATAAAATAACATGAAATTTGCAACTAAAAATATAAAGCAATTACTGTATTATCATACATTGTTCATACATCTATTTTTATAAGTGAATGTTGATCGCAAAATTATTAACGTTCAAGCGAGTATACTATGTATACTACTTTTGTGGCGCGCTTTTTGAAGTGTGAGTTACCTTTGTATTACAGTTTACACACGTCCATTCTCACTTATACTATTATTATTACTTTGTGTCATCTGTAATTCTGTTTGCTGATATACAGGGGAAAAACGCATTTATGCACTGAGGTATTCTGTAATAAATGTGTTTTAGAAAGTGAACGGTGTATAATAGGATAAAACAAACTATTTTAAAAGTTTACCACTAGCATAGCTAAATGAAGTAAGGTAATAGAAGATTACCACTGGTATAGATAAATGTTATACTAGTATAGTTATATGAAGTAAGGTAATGGAAGGTTACAACTGGTATAATTGAATATTATACTACTATAGTTAAATGGAGTAAAGTAATGGAAGGTTACCACTGGTATAGTTAAATATTATACTAGTATAGTTAAATGAAGTAAGGCAATGGAAGGTTCCCAATAGTATAGTTAAATGCAGTAAGGCAATGGAAGGTTGCCACTAGTATAGTTAAATGAAGTAAGACAATGGAAGGTTCCCACTAGTATAGTTAAATGAAATAAGGTAATTAATGGAAGCTTACCACTAGTATTGTTTAATATTATACTCGTATAGTTAATTGAAGAAAGGTAATGGAAGGTTATCATTAGTATAGTTAAATAATGTAAGTTAATGAAAATTTGTATTACCCAATGTAGAAAGCAAAAAATTATTTTTAAAAAAAAGGAAGCTGTGCAAGTACTATTTGTACCCACTGTACATTTCAGCCTTGTGTGTAATCAAATTTTTATGTTGGAATATCACGTTTCTTGATTAAGATTAACCTAACAGATGTTAAAATAAATCCAGTAATTTATTATGTAATTATTCTACAAGAAGTCCCACTCAATCTTAAATATATTTCTAGATTAAATCGAATAGGCAAAAAAAAATACACTAGGAATGCATTGTTTATTATACTGATGTAACATAATTCATACCCAATTCCATGCTTTTCAAAAAGCACTGTTTCTCAAAATTGTAATATTAGATCATTCGTTCTTATTAATGAAAAGAAACATTTTTACTTTTACAATATTTTAACGTTAATATCAAGTTAAATACAATAATTAATTGTAGTTATCTATTCAATAGTTTTCTAATGAACATATTATTGCTATGGATGATTGTAAAACTTTTTACTACCATCTGTTAATTATACTACAATATAATTATAACGAGTGTTTAAAGTTATTTACAGTATCAATTACGGTTATACTGTTTACAAATGTTTACAATCGTTTAAGAAATTTGTAGTTCAATTCGGTGTATAAGAAATAAAATAAAAGTGTAATGTTGATTAATATAAAAAAATTGATTTTATTCATTTAGATTTAATTCAGACAACAAAATTGCAATTATAAGAGATTTAATATAAAATTACAAGAAATCTGTAGTTTTAATTTAGTATTTAAAAAAATGAAATAAAGGTGTAAGGTTGGTCAATTGTCAAAAATTGATTTTATTTCTTTAAAATTAATTCAGGCAACAAAATTGCAGTTGTAAGAGTTTCTAAGGGATCTAATAAACATGTTAGTACATCAAACCTGATATAATTCAGATTTTTCTTTTCCCATTGTATAATGTATATTTCCATATTTTTTTACATTCTTTCGTAATATTTTATGTATTACAAAAAACGAAAATCTCACACTTATTGTAAATATATGAATCAGTATTCATAAATATTTATCACAGTTTAATTTTTAATGAAAATTTATTGTTTAGAATTAACATTATATTAAGGCAATTATATTAAGTTGGCTAAGTAGTTTCATTTGGAGATTCCAGAAACTGTGTTACACACTACTACACTGAATTATTTACAAGATTATCTCGGGAGGTATTTATTCAGATACAAAATAAAATTATAAACCGTTCCATTCCAAATCAAATGAAATAATTTATACGAAAATCATTTTGCTACAACGTACAAATGTTCAAAAGGAATTGCTAGTCTAATAAAAAGACATTTTATTTAGATAATAATTATTCTTAAAATATTTTATTTATATAATATGTAGCTAACTCTCTAATTTACACAAATAAATGATAGTACAGTATAAAATAATGAAAATAAAGAAATTAACTTAAAAAAACCATTTTAATTTAACGAATGAAATAATTCTGTATAAATGATAATTGCATCAATTATTTCCTAAACAAATCTATTCTTTGTGCAGAATCATTTACAAATTTATAAAAGTCACAGAAACGTGGCACACTATAACAAAGAGAATATTGTATGCACTTAACGAGGGAAATGTGTTTGCTCTTTCGTGGAGACTCTATTAATGTAGCAATAAAGTAATAAAAATTCCTTACAAGGGATATGTGCGAAGAGAAACACGCCGATTTTTCTGTAACTTTTCTCAATTGTTTATGGGACCTGACAAAGAATTTTGCTGTACTTGGCTGGTACCACCTTTAGACTTTAAAAAAGAAACCACCCTTTCTATCCGAAGTGCACCTTTTATTTATTCGTTTATAACTCATAAACTACAAAATATAACGAAAAAAAAGTTTTGACAAATTTTATTTCGTTTTTCGTTGTCCATATATTTGTAGAAAAAAATTTTCAAAAAAATATTTTCAAACATTTTTTTTTAATTTTTGTGCTCCTTGTCGAAACATAAATTCTTGTACGTGCTGTTCCTGTTCTCTAGCTTCCGAAATAAATCAATAATCTTATTCTGCATATGTTGCGTGAAATTTTGATATAATATTTCTTTGTGCATTCTGGTACTATGGTGGAATGTTCGAATTGCGTGAGAATGGTAGGTACACGATGTATAGAATGTGTGTGAAGCAACATGAAATGCAACGCTGACTAGAATTTAAAATAACGCAGTAAATAAACACGTATGTATGTGCACTTTCCGTATGAAAAATTTATGTATTCGCTGCATTGTCATGCGTGAGATGTACACACTATCTACATATTGCAAATGTGAATCAATCGTGGAGTCTTGTTCTAAAAAAATCACCACAGTTCGACGAATCTTCTTGAATTAAATGATATTTACAAAGTTTAAAACAATTTTCTATTTGAAACTTAAAAAAACGATATTAATATAAATACTCCAATAGTTCGACGAATCTTATTGAATTAATGAATGAATGAAACTTAAAAAAAAACGGTATTAATATAAATACCACCGAATTTATAATAAAATCCAATTGAAATCAAATTCCATATATGTAACAAGCATTCAGAATTCGAGGTCCCATGTATGCCCATATCAGTGACGGCGATACATTTGAATTGTATCGATATTTGGTATTGATACGTATTGGTACCCAGAGTATGGTTACACACATGTATATCGGGAATGAAATGTCGATACTGTCGGTATCGATACTTGCAACTAAATTAGAAATAATGAAATCCAAAAATGAAAATAAATAATTTATTTAAGCAGATATTTACTAAGGCATATTTTCAGGTAACAGTGTGGAAAAGAAATCGACCAATCACAAACTTTATGGGAAGCTTGGGATTGACCCATTTCCGTTACAGCAATTGCAGCGATTGTATCGAAATTTCGATATTTATGAGTCAAATATCCATACTGGAATACATCGCCACATTAAATATCGATACAGAATTAGGGCTGTTCTAAATATTCGAATAATTCGGAGTATTCGGATTATGCGAATATTCGAAGTGATAAAATTTTGAATTGTACTGAATAGGAATTTGAACATAACATATTTTTTCACACTTTATCGTGAAATTCTTTTCACATTGGCCTTTACAATTATTTATTTTTCAAATATCTACTCGGTACAATCCCAAATGCAAGCACTTCTATTATTCCAATCTTCAAATACATAATACGAATACTTTATACTATTCGAATATTCAAATATTCGAATACTCCGTACTATTGTAATACTCGTACCATTCGAATTGTTCAAATTATTCAAGTTCTTCGAATAAATTATTCGTATTCGAGGTTGTTCAAAATATTCGAACATTAATACTTACAGTCCTACAAAAAATATTCAAAATATCGATACTGTATCGCCCATCACTAGCCTATATAGTCTGCAAACAGATCCATTTCCTAAAAAATTACAACATATACGACGAAACTAATTACCACACTAAAGCAGCATATCCATCGTCAGCACAATGCATACTCTAAACACTGAATCAAAGTAATACGAATGAAAATAAATTAAAATCAAAATAAACCGTTTCAGACGGGTATAATGTTTCTCTCCATAATCCTGGAAAACGTGTCACACATCAATAAGGTTCGATACAACGGAAATAAATTGTAAATTGCAACGTCCGCAGGAGGGGGACACAGAATTCACGAATTGCACAGCCACACGGATTCAGCCACGTGTCATTAGAGGGGGTGCCAGGAGACAAAATTGAACTAACATCATCATCATAATCATCATCATTATCATCATCATCATCATTATCATCATCATCATCATCATCATCATCATGATCATCAGCCAGATATAGAGACGTGCATTCGAAATTTCAGTACCTGATTCCTCGATAGAAAGCCGCTCCATCAGCCACTCGATGAGATCGTAACCTGCAACACGCAGGCAGCCTACTGTAGTGTCCTGGCCGTGATGGCCGGTTACGCTTACTCCACAACGCAGGTACCGTTGACACTCACCCATGAAAGCTGAGGGGATTGAGGTGAGAAATTGTTTTTGGCTGCGCACGGGCACCCCGTTCTCAGGGTCTTGCATCTCCCGCACCAGCCCCTCCATCTGGAAAACAATACCATCGATGGATTTAGGAATAAACCGATACCGTCAAGGTATCGATGCTTTTACTCATAACCAGGGATGAATCGATCCAAGTAAATACAAGTAAATAATATTTAATAATTCTCTAATACTTTCGATATAAAGAGAATACTTAACCTAACAAAAATTTAAAATCAAGATACTGATGATCGTGCTAAAGAGAAACGGGTGATGAATGCGATTGATTTTGAAATAACGTAGAACTACATAGGTATGAATCGATACAAGTAAATACGAGCACATTACTCGATATTTTTGTTTCGATACTGACTGGTTTTGGTATCGATACGTGCGGTTGCGATACGAAGTAAGCATCGAAAAGAAGTTTGACGCATGTGATTGTTTGTAGCTAGCTGTATCTGCCGATCTTCTACCAATGAACGGCCTTAGATCTCGTCCCATGCGCGAAACGAGTTTATTCTTACGTGGAACGGAGTTTAGTCGGGGGGGGGGGGGGGGGGGGGGGGGGTACTTGCCGCCCCTGGACGGAAAAAAGTGGCTTTTGGCCCACTCTACATGAAATTGGATTTTGCCCCCGCCCCCCTCTTCAGAGTTATACAATTGTTGTGTAATATTTAATATTGCAGTATAATTTAAATCACGACCTATTACAAAACGCATACATTTTCAACAATTTATGAGTTTAAAAACAAAATAAAGCGTGTTTGGCTACGTACAGCCTTTTTTACTGTGACTATCGATGTGTTAATACTGTTTGCCCCCCCCCCTGACTACGCCCATGTATGAGTCCTTCAATTCGAGTTTTCTTTGGTTACATCGACAACGAACATGTTGAACTCTCTGATGTAAATGTCATATACCTTATCGAAGGCGTAAGGCCTATGAACACGTGGCTCCTTCTCCTTCTGTTGTTGATTGCTAGAGGCCTCCATCGCGATCGAGGTGGCCCTCTGCGACGCTGGCAGGAGCTGTGACGATATTGATGGCGGAGGGGGCTGGGGAGCTGGGCCGGAGACGGGTCTACCCGAACTCCATGGGGCTCTGGCCCCATCCCATCACTCCAGTCACCCCCGCACGCCCACTAAAACATAAGAAAGAAATGATCGTTTTAAATATATGCACATACACGTTATGAAAGTATGGGCCTAATAAAGTTGGAATGGTTGGAAAATCGGGATAAAAAAAACCCCGAGTAATGCCACCCCTACTCATTACTGATTAGTCTAGGCTGCGGATTTTTATGCAAAATAAAACATTCTAAAGTAATTTATAAAGACAGGAGCAATTGTTGAAATTTATTTTCCCTCTTAAGCATCTTATTGGGTTCAGAATAAAATAGAAGACTCGTTGGATTCGATAAAAGTGTTGTTTTTTATTGTATTTCACACAGCCCTATAGGCTATGAATGCATAAAATCTACTGATTACTGATAGCTTTTTCTTCGGGGAGTCGAGTGCCGATGCACTATCATACCAATGGGGGCGAGCCGAAGAATGGTTTATCACTCTACGCAAGCTGATATGGTGGTGTGCAGGGGCCCCTCCGGAGTTGAACTTATGACCTTCTTTTCCACCCGATCCAACTTTATTAGGCCCGGGCCACTTGGAGGCACGAGTGTACTCGGTAAGGGGTGGGAAGTCGACAGGATCGGCCCATTCTACCTAATTGTTTAGAGCTACAGTAGACATTCGATTCCCGCACGAGTCGGGGCTATAAAGGGCTAAATTTCCAGAAACCGTGCAGGAATCGGTGACCAGTTACTCGAGCGCTTTCCCCACCACTCGGCTGTTCAGTTGTGCAACGCAGCTGCATATAGGGTGGGCTGGATATACGCACTTTACGGTTATGTTAATTATCTCCGTTATTTTTAGAGATATCAGAAAAATGTATTCACAGAAGTTTCTTAGTGTGGAGGAGGCTATTACTTAGCAGTCACAGTTTTCTCGTAGGTGGAGGATCTTTTGAGTTCTGAAAGTTAATTATGTTCTCTTATTAATGATATTGAAATACTATGGAATAAAAATACTTTTGTTTACATAAATCGATTCTTTTAAACATGCTGCGTATGACAGGTATCTTGCTATATCTGCGTATAAGGTTCTTATAAACATGACAGGTATTAAGGTATTATGTAAAAAAGTTAATAATTCGTAACGTATTTTAGTGACAAATGTCTAGCTTGGTTAGCATCTTTTACCCATTACATGTGATCCGCGAGACAAGAAACAATGAAAGTGCCACCAATAAAAACATTATTAAAACAGTATTATATACATTTCGCTTTCTGTGATGAGATATGCATGTTAAACGCGACACCGTATGTGTTCCGGCCTGGGTGTCCTGGACGACAGAGTAGAGTACACGCACGTGTGTGAGAAATACGTGTGAGCAAGGGGCGTGGCTTCCGTGCAGATAACGGTAGCGCGGGAATTGAGTGTCTACTATAAGGTGTCGAACGTAGTGATGGTACACCAAGCCGGATTCAAGTCGGTCAAGTCAGATGTCGTCACGGGGCCTCGATTCTCGGGGACGCACAGTGGGCCAGATCGAAGAGTTAGCTGTCCATTTGCAAAAAAGTCAAATTCCTCATATCGATGTTTAACGAATGCATATTGCTTCCTAAATGTGTATCATATTCGAAAACTATGAAAGTAATGAGGTATATTAAAAATTGTAGGTATAAGAAGCATTTAAAGATCAAACTTTTATAAATACCATTTTTCACCGAAAAAATTACTTTTCTTTGTATTGATACCCCGGAAAACATATTAAACATTATGTGTGCCTGTTTTCTTTTTTATGAATAGTATATGTCTATCTTGAGAACACACCTGGATTAAAAAGTTATTGTTAATAATTTGTTTAAAACAATAATAGTCAGTGAAGTAAAGAGAATCGTCGAAGTTTTTCACCTTTGACAAGGGGTATGTTTAAAATTTTAAAGAGTTATACGTTCTATCAAAGTGGAATATTTTCAGGCGTTATTAATTATCTATGATCACAATATACTTTTTACTTAATAATATTATAGCTGACGTCAAGACGAATTCAACGACCTATATATTATTGTTCTTAAGTCTTGAAATAACGTTAAAACAGTTATGAACAGCGAATTCTTCGATCTGGCCCACTGTGTGACGGTATCTAATCCCTATAAGCCTTCGGCGACCGACGCTTGGGTTACAGTGTAACACACAGAACGAATCACCCATTGATAAAAATTTAAACTTTTACTCCTTTCAATATACTTTCTTAAAAATGTTATGAATAAATGTAGAAGATTCTCCTGATGAAAATAAGTCCAAAAAGGACATATATCAGACTATATTTAATAACATACAATTTGTATTATATTTTTTTTTATATCTTCCAATCCATATTTTTTAATCTTGCCATATTTGTTTTTATACTAAAGGTCTGGAGAATAAAAGTGTTAATAACGATTTCGACTATTTTTTCAGTTTATTTTTAATACACTAATTCGTCAGAATTGACTTAGGTAGAAAATAACGAATAGCATCAAGTGGTGCATTGAAAAATATACGGTTCTACTTAAAAAAAATAAAGTTGACCTTCTCATGACCTCTACGCGTCCACATAGAAGAAAGTTACCCACGTCAGAAAACGTGCCCCCTGATACCATTTAACTTTTATCTAAAACATTTTTTAATATCGTTAATACTTTCGAAGATATTCGAATGGGTCAATTTAAATAGAACACCTTGTATATAAATAAGGTGTAAGACATATACAATAATTTTGTATAAATTAATACACTCTAACTTTATCTTTATAAAGATAAATAATTGAATTTAAGATCATATAACCAAGCAGAGATATGCAGAAGTTACCTTGGGACGTATTGTCCCATCAGTCTCAAAACGGTTAAGAGGCTAAAGGGGAGATAAAACACTCATGTATCTCTAAATGCATATACAGGTTACAAAATGAAAGCCATAAAAATATCTCGTTCTGTATGTAAATACAAGAATAAGCAGCTGAATCTTTTCCCAAGAAGGTATTCTTTCGCGTATTTCCAAAACGCTGAATGTCATTCATGTAATTCGTTCAAGCGAATTGCGTCGTATGTACAATGAGATTTAGTACAAACCGATGATTCACGTGAATTTGCTTGCCTTTGCTTGAAATCACAAACCGTGATTGAAGCACGATGGTCCGATATAAATACCCTGTTATACGGAGGCTGGCTGCACGTTATTCGTATACATATATAGCTAATTCAACAATGGCCGTGTCTAAAATGGGAGTTAGTATGTCCTATTAACTTCAAACAAACGCAAAGAGGACAAGGTCGAAACGGAAAAGCAACGAAAACTGTAACGTAGTTTCTAGCTTTCTGCGTTTGGAAATCTCATTGTAATAGTATACCAAGCGTTTGTTTAATCATATTCACGATTACTGCGATCCTCTTACTTACAAGGGAAGGCACGGATGTCTCCCCTCCGATTTTGATGAAACTTCGTATGTCTGTTAAGCAGTCAAAAATAAGGGATACGTATTTTTTTTATCGGCTGAGACGCGACTTTAAGGGGTGAAACCACCCCTCGAAGTTTCGATCCGAAATTTGTTTGTTATAAACAAATTATATTTTGGACAATTTGTTAACACCATATTATTCTACATAAAAACCCGCTACCTCGTCCATTAGAAATTTTTATGTATCTCTTTTGGTTTTCGAGATAGTACTTTCGGGTCGAAACTTCGAGGGGTGGTTTCACCCCTTAAACTCGCGTCTCAGCCGATAAAAAAAAATACGTATCCCTTATTTTTTACTGCTTAACAGACATACGAAGTTTCATCAAAATCGGATCGGGACTCTTCCGTGCCTTCCCTTATAAAATCTAAAGGTATACAGGGTGTAACAAAAATGTTGGACAAATCGGAAATGGGAGACTCATGAGGTGATTTGAAACAAGTTTTTCCTTAGAAGGATAAGGATCCTATAATTGGACTTATACCACTTTGAAAATACAATAAAAACTGTAATTCATATGGTAGAAAAGCAGGAATTAATTTCCTTTTTCCATTAATTTTTGTAAAATTATTAAAAAAATTTAGTTGATTGGAAGAGTAAAAACGACGGCTTCCTTACTGGCGAAAGGAAAAGAAGGAGGATACTAAAGAAAAGGCTGTAATTGTAATATTTGTCGTTGTGTGTTGAAAACGATACGTTAAGCTTTTTAGTATAATATTTAAGTGATAGTGATTGATATAAGCATTTCAATAATTTTTTAATTATTGTGACAGGATTACTTAGGAAAACAAAGCCTTGCACTGTTAATGTCACCAATATTGTCTGTAGTCACGTGGAACCTAACATGTTTTAGTATAGGTTGTATGTATAGAGTGGGCCAGTACAGGTGGTGCATGGGGACCAGAGCTTGTTCTACATGCAAAAATAAGTAAAAAATGGAGAATGAGATTTTGTTGTACAATGCCTCCTCTTTGAAATAATCCAATTTGAAAATTCACCTATGACCTATGTATTTGAATGTATTAACAATTGAGTCAGGACACGTGCTCCAAATAAGCATGAGGTTATTCTACACGCAAAAATAAGTCAAAAATGAAGGATGACATTTTTTCGTATAATCCGTCCTTTTCTAGATCATCCAATTTTAAAATTCATCTGTTTATGTAATCGTATTAACAATTAGGTCAGTACAAGTGGTACATTGGGACAAGAGGTTATTCTGCACTCAAAAATAAGTCGAAAATGGAGAATGAAATTTTGTTGTATAATGTCTCCTCTTCGAGATAATCCAATTTGAAAATTCACCTATGTATGTATATGTATAACTGTATTAACAATTGGGTCAGGACACGTGCTCCAAACGAGCCCGAAGTTATTCTACACGCAAAAATAAGTCGAAAATGTAGAATGAAATTTTTTTGTATGTTGCTTCGTTTCTGAGATATATCATTTTGCATATTCATTTCACACGCAATGTGTTCGTGTTGGCAGTAAGTAGAAGTGGAACACAATGGTCAGACGTGCTAGCCAAGCGAACTTCCACACATTTTTGTGGCGCTGTTTCTGAAATTTACAACTGG